GCCCCTTTCCCTCTCTCCTCTGAGACCCTTGTAACATCCGGGCTCAGGACGCACAGAAAGCTCCAGACAAGATGAATCCACGGAGGGCTAAGGCACGAAACAAAACAATAAAATGTTGAAAGTTAAATATAAAGACAGAATTTTCAAAGCAGCAAGAGAGAAGCAACCTAGTTACACACAGGGAAACCCCAAAGGCTGGAGGCCACACTGGAGGCACAAGATACATTCTAAGTGATGAAGGGAAAAAACTAGAACCAAGAGTCCTCCACACCACGAGTTTACCTTTCAGAACTGAAGGAGAGAGAGAGTTTACCAGACAGACAGACCTTAAAGGAGCTGATCACTATTAAACTGGCTTTAAAATAAATATTAAAAGGACTTCTTTAAGGGAAAAAGGAAATACCATAATCAGACAAAATTATGAATGAAAAAATTTCATCAGTAACAGCAAATATGTAGTGACAAGTGGAGAGCAGTGATGTAAAAAAGCTAGTATGAAGGTGTGTACAGAAAACATCAAGGAGCTGAGTAAAAATGAAGTTCTTTTAGAATGTGTTCAGACTTCACGAGACCTTAGGATCCTATATAGGAACCTCACAGTAACTCAAAACAAATGTACAAGAGACACACAAAAATTAAAGGGAAAGTCAAATCTAATGCTGTACAAAGTCCTCTGTCACCAGGAGATAGAGCAAGAGAAGATGAAAAGAAACAAGGAAGAACTACAACCAGAAAATGATCAACAAAATGGCAATAAATTCTTACCAATAATTCCTTTAACTGTAAATGGTCCAAATGTGCCAGTCAACAGACATCAGGAGAATGAATGGATACAAAAGAAGACCCACCTCTGTGCTACCTGTGGGGGGACCCACTCCAGACCCCGAGACACCTACACCCTGAACATGAAGAGTTGGAGAAAGACAAGCCATGAAGATGGTAGTAGAAAACACCCCTGAGGTAACAACACGTATGTCAGACAAAACAGATGTTAAAGCAAAGGTCGTAGCAAGACAAAGAAGGTGCTGCACGGTGATAACAGGATCCAGCAAGGGAAAGTAACGGTCGTGAGTATCTATGCACCCGACATTTGAACACCTAAATGCAAATGTTAACAGAGATAATACAGTAATAATCGGGGACTTTAACACACCCCTTACATCCACAGAGATCATCCAGGCAGAAAACCAAAAACCCATTTCTGTGTGGGGCACGGGATTTTCTGTAGACGAGATGCCCGGTTAGTCCACAGAACAAGTCTAAGTATACTGAAGACTGAAATCCTATCAAGCTTCTTTTCTGACCACAAAGATATGAAACTAGAAATTATCAGAAAAAACGTGAACAAAACACAAACAGGTGGGAGCTAAACCACATGCTACTAATGGGTCAATGAAGGAACTTAAAGGAATAAAAAACTCAGAGACAAATGGAAATTACAAAACAACAATCTGAAAACCTCTGCACAGACAAAGCAATTCTAAAGGAGGGCGATTTACAGTGATGCAGACCGACCTCAGAAACTAGAAAAACCTCAAATTAATATAACCTCACACCTAAAGGAACTGTAACAAAAGAACAAAGCTCTAAGTTAGTAGACAGAAGAAAAAAGTAAAGATGAGAGTGGAAGTTTGTGAAATATGAAACTAGAAAAAAATAGAAATCAGTGAAACTAAGAGCTGGTTCTCTGATTTACCTTTAGCTGGACTCCGAGAGAGAGAGAGAGAAAGAGAGAGAGAGAGAGAGAGAGAGAATATACACCATCACCCCTGAAACGAGGAAGGGCTGACACCTTAGAAATACAAAGGACTATGTGACAGTAGTATGAAAAACTATTCTAACACACTGAACAATCTAGAAGAAATGGAGAGAGTCCTGGAAACATCAGACCTTCCAAGAATGAATTAAGTAGTAGAACATCTGAACAGACTGAGTACTAATAATGAAAGTGAATCGTAATCCATAAGACTCCGAACAAACAAAAACTCCCGGGCCTGATGGCTTCCCAAGTGCGGTCTACCAAACATTTAAATAAGATTTAACATCCTCCCCAAACTATCCCAAAGAAATCAAAGAGGAAGGGAAACTTCCAAATTCAAACCAGTTATCCTGACAGAAAAATCAGACAAAGACACTACAAAAACAGAGAACTACAGGCCAGTATCCCCAAAGAATACAGATGCAGAAATCCTCAACAAAATATTAGTAAAGGACATTCAAAAATACATAATGGTCACTCACCATGACCAAGTGGGATTTATTCTGGGGACGCGAGGATGGTTTGACGATCTGCAGATCATGCAGTGTCATACACCACGGTAACAAAATGGAGGCTAAAAATCACACGATCATCTCAGTAGATGCAGAAAAAGAAAAAAAAATTCAACATCCTCTCCTGATAAAGACTCCTGATTAAAAAAAGGGATTTAGAAAGAACATATGTCAACATAATAAAGGCCTTGTAGGACAAACCCACAGCTAACACCATACTCAGTGGTGAGAAACAGAGCTTTCCCTCTAAGATCAGGGACAAGAGGTGCACTCCTGCCACATTTATTCAAAGTGATACCGCCAGTCCTAACCACGACAATCAGACCAGAGAAACAAATGCCATCCAAGCCAGTAAAGAGGTAAAAGTGTCGATGCTGGCAGATGACATGATAGCAGAGGTAGGAACCCTACAGATTCCACCAAAAACAAAACAAAACAAAACAAAACAAAACCCATTAAAACAAATGAATTCAGTGAAGCTGCAGGATACAAAATGAATATACAGAAGCCTGTTGCATTCTTACACACTAATAACAAAGTAGCTGAGAAACTTAGGAAAAAATTCCATTTATAGTTGCACCAAAATGAAAAAAAAAAGTCTAAGAAAAATCTTAACCAGGGAGCTGAAACCTGAGTGATCTAAAGCCCATTAAGCTCTGATGAAAGAAATTCAAGACAACACGAATGTAAAGACACACCAGACTCACGGGTTAGGAAAGTTAATATTGTTAAAATGTCCATGCTATTCAGAGCAACGTGCAGAATCAGAGCAACCTCTATCAAAATACCCACAGCATTCTTCATAGAACTAGCACAAATAGTCCTAAAATTTGTAGGTACCCACAAAAGACCCTAAACAGCCAAAGCAATGTTAGAAGGACAAAGCTGTAAGTACCACAATCCCAGGGTTCGAGATCTACGACAAAGCTGTGGTCATCAGAACAGTGTGAGACACAGATCAAGAGAACAGAAAAGCAAGCCCAGAAACAAACCCACGCTCATGTGGTCAGTTAATCTATGGAAAAGGACACAGGAATACACAATTAAAAAATGATCATCTTTTGAATAAGTGGTGTTGGGAAAACTGGACAGCTACCTACAGAAGAATGAAATTGACCATTTTCTTACACCATTCGCAGAATAAAGTTAAAAGGGATTAAAGTCTTAAACGTGAGACCTGACAGCATTTAACTCCCAGAAGCAAACACAGGCAGGAAGCTCTTAGCAACACATTTTCAGATCCATCTCCCGAGGTGAGGGAAACAAACGCAAAAACAAACCCGTGGGACGACACCAACATTAAAAGCTTCCGCACAGCAAAGGAAACTATCAACAAAACAGAAAGGCAACCTACTGCATGAAAGGAGATCTGTGCAATGACACATCTGATAAGGAACTAATGTCCAGAATATCCAAGAACTTCTATGACTCAACCCCCAAAACAAATAATCTGGTTAAAACAAGAGGCAGAGGATCTGGGCAGACATTTTTCCAAGAAAAGACACAGACGGAGACAGACAGGAAAGATGCTCAACAGCGCCCGCATCAGACGCGCGTATCAAAGACTCACGACGAGATCTGAAACCTCACACCTGTCAGGATGGCCAGAATCAAGAAGACAAGAAACAACAAGTGTTGGTGAAGATGCGGAGAAAAAGGAACCTTCGTGCACTTTGCTGGGAACGCAAATGGGTGCAGCCACTGCGGAGACCGCAGCGAGGCTGCCTACAAAGTGAAAGTGGGAATACCTGAACCACTCCCTGATCACACTCCTGTGTATTTACCCCAGAAACATAAAAGCACTAACTTGAAAAGATACCCGCATCCCTCTTTTGACGGTGGCGTTCCTTACGACAGCCAGGACGTGCGCACTCACGGACGGCCGACAGGCGGACAGCGCGGCACATGGACGGACGACGCGGACGTGCACACACATGTCGTCCACATACACATGGCCACAGAGAGCGAGCCTGCTACTCGGGACAAGATGGAAAAACGGAGAGGGTGTTATGCCAAGTGAAATAAGTCAGAGAAAGACCATGTGGGTTCATCTCTATGAGGAATCTAAGGAACAAACCGAATGAACCAATCGACAATAGACACACAGACCCCAAATACAGAAAACAATCCAGTGGTCGCCTGAGGGTGTGGGGGTTGGGGGGATGGGCAGAGGGGGTGAGGGAGTACGAGGTGCCACCTTCCAGTTGCAGAATGAGTCGTGGGGGTGAACAGCACAGCCCAGGGCATATGGTCCGCGGTACTGGGACGGTGTTGTCGGGGGACAGACGGTGGCCCCACTTGTGGTGAGCACAACATCGCTGTGTTGTTCACCTGAAACTCATGTAACGTTATGTGTCAACCACAGTATTTCTTTCCCTGGCTAATCCCAGCACAGGGACAGAGCCTGCTAGGAATCAGATGTGTCTTAAACTGTCGACACTCAATGTCTGCGTGGCTGACTTGGGCAACAAAGAACATACTGTACGGTAATCCAGATTATCAATAGAGGCTTTTCTCCTTAGCAGGATGTACATTACTTAGAAATCAGAAACTATAATGCTATTCTTTCCATAACAAAACAAAGATTTTTTAAATGCCCAATACATTTTAAGAATCATAAAGGATACGATATTTTGACTCTAAATTTGTTCAAACGCAGGTGACATCAGAAAGCAAACAAAAAATGCCAAGGCTGAGACTATCTCATCCCAACGGCGGAGTGGGGTTACCTGGGGAATCCAGCCCACACAGCACGGGAGAACGGGAGACACGCTGGGAGAATCGTGGTCATGTTCCGAGAGCCGGCTCCCGTCAAAACTGCAGCCTTCCAGCAGCAGGCCGCCCATCTGTCAGGGAAACAAGCAAACCACTGAAATCCACAGGCAGTCTGACATGTCAGGAGCCGCTGTGCGCTAGCCAACGCCGCGAGGCCACACGGGCTTTCCTGACTCCGGACACCACGTATTCTGAAAACAAAGACGACGGTATCTAATCGGAGAATAAAGAAGGTGAAGACCGGGGCCAGTGTTCACAGGACTTCTGCCTCTCTATTTATTTAGCAGGTAGTTCAGAAACAACTGCTTAAAATGTATTTAGTTACAACTGCAGGTGTGTCGATGTTAGGTTAATTGAAATATAATATAAATATGATGGAACATGACCAAAAGTTAGTCTTTCTCCAAGAGGGTGAGAGAAAAGTGTAATTAAAGGAGACCTTTAAAGGTGCCCCTTGCTTGGGGTTCTGATATCATTTTATTTATTTATTTATTTATTTATTTATTTATTTATTTGACAGAGATCACAAGTAGGCAGAGAGGCAGGCAGAGAGGAGAGAGAGAGAGGAGAGAGAGGGAGAGAGAAGAGGAAGCAGGCCCCCTGCTGAGCAGGGAACCTGATGTGGGGCTCGAGCCCAGGACCCCGAGATCATGACCTGAGCTGAAGGCAGAGGCTTTAACCCACTGAGCCACCCAGGCGCCCCTGATATCATTTTTTGAAGAAAAGAATAAAGCTCCGAAAGTTGAAGGCAAAACACCCATGCCTTGCAGAGCTGGGAGAGTAATGAAGAGTTCTTCTCTCTTCTCTTTCTCTACACTAACCTTCGTGTACGTTTAGGGAATTATGAAAATAAAAATACAACTATTTAGATAACATTAGTTTCATGTTTCTTCTTTAAAAGTGTTCATCGTTTCAGTCTCTGCACTGTTAATCTACCCGGAGCTTAACAGATAGGTCAGAGGTCAAGCCGGTCCTGTGCGTTCAGAGCCACATCTGTAGGCTCATAATGCAAACTTGATAGAAAATACAGAATAATCTCTTCTCTTTAAAGGTTTTATTTGAGAGAGAGCGAGCGAGCATACCCAGGCAGGGCAGGGGCAGTGGGAGAATCCCAAGCAGACTCTGCACAGAGCACGGAGCCCGACATGGGGCTTAATCCCAGGACCCCCAGATCATGACCTGCGCCGAAACCAAGAGTCTGACACTTACCCACCTGAGCCGTCCAGATGCCGAATACAGAATGATCTTATAAACATTACCTAATACTTTCAGGTTTTATCAATGCTAATAGAAGTGCTCTAGCCTTTAAAGTCCAGAGAGGCTTACCAGAATGTAGCTGGGAGAGGGTCTGAGGGACCGTGAAGGTGAGGAGGTCACGGTGGGGTACGCCTGGACCAGTAATTCTGAAGAGCTAATTTTACAGCAAGATTGCTGTACCACAGAAAAGACAGACACCTTGTTTGTTAGTGGGAGCGCTGATATAAAAACAGAATCACGGAAGACCTAAGTTTAACACTTTCTACTCCGGCACTGGCGTGATGACACTCGGGCCGATTTGAGAGTTGACAAAGTGTGGTGGCCTTGACAAAATGTTAAAATTTCGAAAGTACCTGCTAATTTCAGGGCTAGAATGTCTCTAGGTTTCAAGCTGAATTAGTCTGTCTGGAAATGTGCAGACACGGTTCTCGCTGAGAGAGCCCCAACTTGACCTTGTAACAGGTGGCTCCTGAGACAGAGGCGCATCACTGTTCTCTGCTAGCGAGCAGCGGCCGGCTGAGAAGGCACACGCCGAGCCTTGTTTCAGTCGTTGGCACCTCTGAGCCCCCAACACACATCTGGGCTCCCCCAGCCTCCCCTGGGCTGTCAAACTGCCCAGTCCTGCCACTTCCAAGAAACACCTTCTAAATCTCCCCCCTCTCTCCGCACCCTCTGTGACTACCGTATCATGAAATTTAAGGGTCATCGGTGGAATTTAAAGACCTCCTCACTCCTGAGAATGAAACTAAAATGTAAGAATGCCAACACGTAACACGTAACACCGCATCGTTTGCACCGTAAAACAACATACCGGGGGTTGGAAAGGTTTCCACAAAGGTCCCCCGTGTTTCCCCTGCAGCTCTCCTTTAAAGGGAGGCATGAATGAAGACAGGCTCAAAACATTTCCTGCATTGCCGAAAACGACAGCTTGGAGGACCTCACCAGTCTCCAGGCTGACGGATTCCTGCTGCTCAAATCAACAATCTGGCAGGCTTTACTCCTCCTCAGCGGGGCACTGAGCCGAGCACCCAGCCAAAGAGGCAGCCCAACAGGAGCAGAACACAAGCCCCGAGACACAGCCTGAGGCAGACGAGAGCTCCCCCAGCCCCCACAGGAAGCGCGGCATGCGGGCACACGAGGTGGCCCGGCCTTCCCAAGCAGCCCCGCGGCACAGGAAACACAATGACCCAACCGGGCCGAGGCCTCCTCGTTTGCCCTTTGGGGTGTGGTAGCCTCAGTGGTACGGGGGACAGCGGGGGCCTCCGGAGCTGCTGGGGAGGTCCCCTCCCTGCCACGGGCCAGCTCCAAGTGGGGACACGTGGGCAGCCTGTCGCCGGCAGACCCAGCCCTGCGCCTCACAGCCCTGCTGGGCCATGGCAGGTCAGTAGCAGTAGCGAGGACACCCTAGAGGAACACGGTCCAGGGACTGGGGATCAACAGACAGAGGTGTTCTCTTAAGCAGGTCTGGAGGGTCGGGGACACTGACCGGTGAGGGGAACTACAGCCTTGCCTGAACACGTCCGTGGCTGACTCGGCCTAAGGCGCGGGAGGTTGAAAGAGACCTAGGACAAACACACACCCTCCCACACACCTGAGTTTTCAGTCTTCCAGGAAACATTACTAAACCCATTGACAAATGAGATGACAAGGACTCAGATGACTCCATGAAATAATTGCTCGAAGTCATGTGGTTCTTTTTTGGAGAACTAAGATTAGAATATTGTTTTACTAACTGTCCGCCTTTCCCCTCCAATCTACAAAACATAACATAGAAGCTTGGGGTTTTCTGGTTGTAGATACTTTTACTCCTATGTTGTAAGAGCAGAGGCCACATGGTTCCAGAGATACTAACACACTCTGACTCCGAATGTAACCCATTTCCCTTGCTGTTTATACCAGTGGACATCTGAAGAATGATGGCCCGTACCATCCGTGGGGCTCACAGCAGCCAGAGACCACACAGCCTGCTCAGGGGCACGGCTCCTGTGACAGGCCTGCCCTCCCTGTCCCAGACAGCTGGGCCAGAGTATCAGACCAGCAGCGATAGAGAAGGTCATTCTCATGGGTTAGAAGCTCAGGTTAAAATGAAACACAATGGGACGAAAGAAAATCCTTCTGATTTCTTCAGCTCTGGGGGAGAATTGTATAGCCAGCTCTAGAGAGCCAAAAGAGAAAGATCCAGCTTGTCACTGATGAATAGATCTCTGGCACACCAGAAAGCCACTGCAGATGCTACAACCCCACCACAGGGCCTGTCCTACTGAAGGCCCAAACTCCACTGCCCAACGAGGGCTCAAGTGAGCGCCCACCATGTAACAGCCGTGGCTCGACGTATGTGGGATACAAACCACGCGAACAATGACTAGTGTCACGGGACTTTCGTTCCAGTGGACTAGGATGGACAACGAGTAAACATAATAAACAGACTCTACAGTACGCCACAGAGCACTAGGGAAGTGAAAACCGTGCACCCGGGAAGCACAACTATGTAAACAGAACCTGTGAAAAGCCACTTGCCCCAAGCTGCCTAAGAGAAAGAACTGGAGTCGTACATTTGGTTGACTTAAGACCGAATGCATGTGAGGCCCTGGAAGACATGGTGGAGACACGAGTTGGGAACTGTCTGCGGCCCTCTGACACACCAGCCACCGGCCCCACGTGCCGTGTCAGGGCAGCGGGCTGCAGGTGGGGAGGTGGCCCCCACGTGCGGATGGGGAGGAATGGCTGGAAGGCGCGGGGCTGCACACCAAGGCTGCCGTCGCTGGGAGACGTTGCCACTGCAGACTGTGAACTGGTTTTGTTATTAACATGTGCATGAGTACGTTCCTATAGTTAGTTATTATTTTAAAAGTAATGGATTCTTTCATTGTGGCGTGTTAGTCACCATACAGTACATCATTAGTATTTGATGTTGTGTTCCAAGACTCACTGTTTACGACAACGCCCGGTTCTCCATACAGTACGTGCCCTCCTGACTGCCCATCACCAGGCTCACTCATCTCCCCTGACTAACCCCTCCCCTCCAAACCTTCCCTTTGTTTCCAGGACTCCATAGTCTCTCCTGACCCATTTTCCCCTCTAAAAGCAATGGGGTTTTAACAGGAAAGCCACCAGAGAAAATTTATGCCACAAAACATGGCTTGAGTTATTTTCTTTCTAAACACAGAGGGCTGGGGGGCACCTGGATGACTCAGTCAGTGAAGGGTCTGCCTTCAGCTCAGGTCATGATCTCAGGGTCCTAGGATCGAGCCCCGCATCGGGCTCTCTGCTCAGTGGGGAGCCTGCTTCCCCCTCTCTCTCTGCCTGCCTCTCTGCCTACTTGTGACCTCTCTCTCTCTGTCAAATAAATAAATGAAATCTTAAAAAAAAAAAAAAAAACCACAGATGGCTTGAATTTTACACCAAACTAATATACTCACAAACTATTACCTCCATAAGGACAAGACTTGGGTCTGTTTTCCATAAACTAAACTTTATACTTGCCTTATTGTACAGTTAATATTTATTGAATTGAATTTTAGAGCAAGAAACCTAACCGAACTTCAAGATTTGTATCATTTTTTTACCAAAAACTAAATTTTTCAATACGTTGTGTCCCTAATAGTCTTATTTTTAGAGTGGAAAGGATTTTTGTTTTGTCCAAGCTGCTTCATCCTAAGTCTTGACTTTGACTTTTCACATAGGAGATACGATATTTCGGCTAATCTTCCATTAAGATAAGCAAGTCAGCGACGGGAGTTTCAGAGTCGTTATCAAGTTGGCAATATTATTACTTTTAGGCCTGGATAAGCATCAGAATTACCCCTACCTTAATCTGCAGCTTTGCCTCTCTCAGCCGACCCTTCCACGAGGCTACGAACTTAAGGCTGTCCACGGAGCAGCCCATCGCCCTGTAACATGGAAGCAGCCAATGTCAGAAAGCATCTCAGGAAATGAAATACAGACAGTAAGGCTGACATTTTCCTCTTCGTTTACAACTGAAATATTTACAATGTGCATGGAAGCAGATTTCCTAAACGACGCAGGATCTTAGACCTCACGCCACATCTGTAAAGGAACGGCCTACAGGATCCCCTGCCGCTAAGGCACACAGGGCTTCGCCGCTCCATCCTCCGCCTCCCGTTGGACCACCGCGCGGGAAGTGTGCCATCGTGCTTATTAGTTGAACCGAAACATGGACACATGAAATGACCCCCAGGCACTACACAAGGAAACGCCCCCGAATCAACACAGAACTAAATCTGGTTCCGTTTACTTTTCCAAGTACCTTTTAGTCCATTCTAATTTATTTAAAAAATCAGTCTATATGATAGGATTATCCAAGTGTGTCCTAAAAAAAAAAGCTTGATCTTAACTATCAAACCCTGCTCCCCACCAGTAAGCCTGGCCAGCATGTCTGAGAAAGGGGTCTGCAAAAATTAAAATGCTTCTGCACAGGGCCCAGTGGTCGCCACGGGGAGATGCACCGTGGCTGGCGAGACTGAGAAACCCCACGCGTACTGTTCTTTCCTGTTGGTCCCTTTACCTATGAGTAGCTCCTCCACCCACCCTATCAGACACAGCTTATCCAGGTCAATCGCCGACAATTTAAAAATTAAATTTCACCTTTTCAATTCTAATAAAAATATCATAGTTCTAAGCAATATTTCTCAAACTAAAAGTTCCCTGTTAAGAAATGTCAAGTACTAGGAAATAACGTAACTCCCTTGATTTAATAGTAAGTTTATTTCTGAACAGCGATGGGAACGTGATCACAGGCACAGGAAGCAGAGAGACAGACGCGTCAAGAGTTCGGCTCACCTTGCCGTCTCCTGGCGAAGGGCGTTGAGAAACGTGTCTGGGTGGAAGAGCTCTGACAGGTCGAGTGTGTCAGAGAGAAGAGCCTGCTTCTCAGCCCTCTCTACCCAGCTCTAGAGGGGAAAGAATAAGACACACACTTATTTAAAAACTTTGTAAACGTGGAAGACAAATCTGTTAAAGAACTATTATGTAGAAGTCATGTTCAGTGACGAAGTTATACCATTCCCAGCTGCTCCGAAACAGTGCCTGGAAAAAAGAGATTCTGCTTTACATCGTGAGTCTACCGTAATTTGCTTTTGACATAATATCCATCCACCGTAAAAAAGCTTCCTTGCACAATCCTTTGCTGGTAAAATTCTACTCCAAATAAAAAGCGTAAAATTAGAAAAATCATCTCACAATCAGCATTTCCGCCGGGGCCGACACTTCTCTTGATGAGCCGCGGTTCGGAGTGTGCTCAGAAGCTGACCTGAGAGTGGGGTCCGAGCGCAGACCCCCAGGGCCCCCGAGTCCTGGTCCTGCGAGCTGAATGGGCCCCGATCCAGACCTGCCTGCAGATTTGCCACCTTTCTGAGCCAAGCATTGAAGAGGAGGGTCACGTCCAACAAGAACGGGTTCTTTGGTACAAGGTGTTTCTGCTCAGTCTCTTCTTCTTATCTGGCATTTTATAAACCCGCTATGTCCCCTGGAGAAACACACATCGTCCCCAAGCATGTCCTAGGTGTTTCACACTATGGACGGGCTTCCTGCGTGTTAGCTGACCCTGTGCTCCCCCCACCACCGAGCCCCGAGCGTCCTACTCCTCTCGCCGCCCAGGACACGGAGGGCTGGAGGCTGACTGAAACAGCCCCATGCGACGGTTTCTGTGCAATCCACCGGGCGGGTGCTGAGGTGCCTTAGGGGAAAGGTAACTTACTGGTGATCCCCATGTCCATATGGGCCAGTCCGTCAGTCTGTCAGCCCAGCTCCAGCACAGACGCGGTAGCACGGTGACATCAGCTGGTACCACCCCGCACAGCGGTCATCTACTCAGTCATTCACTTTGTATGATTATGACGGCTGGGAAACACGGTGATCACTCACTCCCGTACGGAGGAGCTATGCATCCTGTGCTGCAACACCCCGTCCCCAAGGACGTACACCTGTCAGCCAGGTGCGGAGAAGCCACTCCACAGTGCCTGTGTCTGTGTGAATGTCCAGTGCCTCTGACCTCCTCCCGCCTGCAGCAAAACCTTCCTGCGGCCCTACACCGGTTCATCACACGCTTACTTATAAAGCAGAAACAACCTAAAAAGAGCTCTTTAGCAAACTATATTTCTTCGTGGATATTACCTATTTTAAGGATGTTTAAATTATTGTTTATTTGGTTTACTCCCTATGAAATGTTTTCATTATCTGCCTTCTACTTTCACTAGCTAGACAAAGCTAACAAATTATGCTTGCATGATCTTTTATAAGTAATACTTAATGCAAACTTGTTTCAAATTAATACTATCATTAATTCTTAAAATTAAATTTTAATTCAAAAATTTCAAAACAGTTGTTGCCTGTATTAGATATGCATATGTTCAAATTAACTAAAAATTAAAGTGTGGCTAATAATCAGATTTTTACTTAAAATGTGAATTAATAACATTAGTAAGAAAAAGGAAAAGCTTCTATAATACAAATGTTTTTATTAGTCCATGGCGGGGAATAAACGTTTTTGTCAGGCTTAAAGGCAGACTAAAGCAAAGGCATATTTGATAAAAGAATCTAAATAACAAAGATTCTTTTAATATGTATATTGTCTTTGAACAGCAAACTTCACAGAAGAAAACACAGTGAAGCACATTTTTTAAAAATTACATTTCAGCCTGTTTAGAGCAGCTTTCTTCATACTGTCAACACTGGGAAGTGACCGAGATGTCCTTCAGGACATCCTGGACTAATGCACTGAAGCACCGGCTGTCAGCCACGAAGGACGGGAGGGACCTTCGATGCACGCTGCTGAGTCAGAGAAGCCGCGAGAACAGGCGGCAGTTCCACAGGACCGCGGGAGCGCAAAAGGCGAGACTCTGGAGGCAGGAAGAAGACCGGCGACTAGCCGGGCTGGGTGAGGGGTGCCGGGGGGGACGCGGAGGGTTTCGAGGGCAGTGAAAGTACTGGGTGTGCTGCCGTAATGACGAGCGCGTGGCACCGTCTACTTTTCCAAACCCGCAGACGGTCACACATCAGGAGCAGATCTGAAGGTCAACTGCGGACCCTGGGTGATCACGACCCATCAAGGCAGGTGCATCCTTCGTTTTAAACCAAACAAACAAGGCAAGAAGGAGAGTTCTATTCCTATATGAACCAGTATAGACAGAATTTTGAAGGAAAAGGCTTTTCCCTGGAAAACTTTTTATCTAGTTAACTTACCTTTCATTCGTGAATACAACGAGGTATCACTTTTATATAGGCTAGAGTTCAGAAAATAAATACACAACTGTACCTTTTCTTTTTAAACATTACTCAAAAATGTCCTTCAACTGATTTACATATTAGTCAAAACTAAGATTTTTAAGGACATAAAAGTCAGAGACTAAAGCTATTAGCTATCAGTAATGAAACCAGTTAAATATAGAATTAGATCTATATCCTTATTGTAACAAAATTACATTCATATAATGAACTGTTTGAGATGAACTCAAAGGGCAACAGGAAAGCATCAGTTATACACCACAGGCAAAACCCCACTGCCCTTCACGTGTTCACACATGTTTATGAGATATATCATGGATCTATACAAAAGGAAGCTGAACTTCCATCTGTGATCAAAATGAGAAAAAATATAAGAATTCAATATTTTATATCGGCAGTATCACAGATCACTGGGGAACGGAAAAATTATTCAACAAATGATATTGAGGAAAAATGTTCATCATGACTGGCCATCAGGGAGATTCAAATCAAAACCACATTGAGATACCACCGTGCACCAGTTAGAATGGCCAAAATTAGCAAGACAGGAAACAACAAGTGTTGGAGAGAATGTGGAGAAAGGGGAAGGAACCCTCTTACACTGCAGGTGGGAATGCAAGTTGGTGCAGCCACTCTGGGAAACTGTGGAGATTCCTTAAGAAATTAAAAATAGAGCTACCCTATGACCCTGCAATTGCACTACTGGGAGTTTGCCCCAAAGATACAGATGTAGTGAAAAGAAGGGCCATCTGTACCCCAATGTTCATAGCAGCAATGGCCACAGTCACCCAACTGTGGAAAGAACCAAGATGACCTTCAACGGACGAATGGATAAGGAAGATGTGGTCCACATACACTATGGAGTATTATGCCTCCATCAGAAAGGATGAATACCCAACATGGACGGGGCTGGAAGAGATTATGCTGAGTGAAATACGTCAAGCAGAGAGAGTCAAGTATCATATGGTTTCACTTACTTGTGGAGTATAAGGAATAACACGGAGGACATTGGGAGATGGAAAGGAGAAGTGAGTTGGGGGAAATCGGAGGGGGAGACGAACCATGAGAGACTATGGACTCTGAGAAACAAACTGAGGGTTTTGGAGGGGAGGGGAGTGAGAGGTTAGGTGAGCCTGGTGGTGGGTACTAAGGAGGGCACTATTGCATGGAGCACTGGGTATGGTGCATAAACAATGAATCTTGGAACACTGAAAAAATAAAATTAAAAAAATAGAAAAAAACTTTTCTGAGATTTTAAAAATTAGAGGTTTAAAAAAAGCTTAACAAATTGCAGATCTAGGTTAGCAATCATTTTTAGGACATTTAGTAAAAAAGGAGGTTTTGAGATTTACTTAAGGTGAGGATTTTCTGTTCAAGGTTCTTCCTAGAAAACATATTACTGAAAAGTACTTTGCTGAGCTATTTGTACAGGGTGCAGAAAGCTGGGTAGCCTCTCTGAGGGCTCGCTTCTGTGCTCTTTGCAAACGCAGTCAGATGAGCCCACGGCCCAGAGCCCTTCCACAGGGTGCGCAGGTGCAGCTGGCTGGGTGCAAGGAGCTCAGGACACGGGGCTCTGATGACAGAAGGCACAGAACCGAAGGTAAGGGGAACCAGGACCATGTGCTCCAGCTACACTGACCATGCCACCACGTGGCGAGGGCTTTCAGGGACTCAGGATGGTTCACGACCTCCTGGGACAGGCTCTGACTACAGCAGGAAAACTGTGGACAAGTTTGCTAGAGGTGGCAGGTGGCCAGATGGAGTAGGGGAAGAGCTGAGGCCCCTGGGCCGGGAAACTGCAGGGACACCAGCCACTGGGGCGGCTTAGGGCGCACCTAGGGGTTCACCAGCAGGCTCGCCCCAGGACCTGGCCCTTTTGGGAGCATGCACAGGGAAGGAGCCCTGGGGCTGGTAACCCCAGGGCCGACAGGATCTTATTATCATATCATTTGCATTGCGGTGTCCCCCACACCCCCTACAGATGCTGCTCCCTGAAGATGGGGGATGTGAGCAGATGCCCAGGCCTGAGGGAGGAAGCCGGGGTAGGGGGTATGAGAAGGAGCACCTGGGAAAGGGGAGACCACGGAGACCCCCAAGCACAGGATGAGGCAGTCCGTGGGCTCAGGCCGCTCCTCTGTCTGGGGGCTGGACCCTTCCCTTGGAGAGCCCAGACCGAGGCAGAGTCCCCCAGACCCGGGACACCCGCACTGGCCTTCTGCGGCCACACCACGGCTGCGGGACACAGAGGGTCCCTGCAGCTGGGTCCTTCCTGAGCTCACAAGCCCACACCCTGACGGGGGCAGGCAGTGCTGATACACGGGCGCCCACAGGCGCGCCTCCTGCAGGGACCACGGTCTGTCTGTGGAGCCTGCTGATGCTGCGGGAGCCCTGGGGGGTGTGCTGACACGGTCTCCGCAGGCCTCCGCGGCGAGGAGCCTCTTATTATGCCGCGCCAGTCGCCGCCGAAATTGGTATGCATGTGACAAAAGCGAAATGCAGATAAAAATTCAGGGAAGACTTTGTTATCTTGAAAGCCAATTATGTTGCTATACTGTCACATTTCTAGAACCGAGATTTATCTTCTGCAGGCAGTTTATAGGCTCGCTTCCACACAACTGCAGATGATCGCAGACCACAGGCTACTACTTCGCATTCCGAATGTGCAGGA